TTTTTAATTACACTAGTGGGAACTTAACATTTATGTCAGTTTCGATTGGGTCCCTAACTTTTATTTTATCGTAATTCTTTGGGCATCTTATAATTCTTATTCGAATAAATTAAGAGAGAAGTTAAAATCATTTTGATTGTCTATAAAATTATTAAATATTTTAATAAATTTTTTTATGTATTAATTTTTATTGTAATTTTTGATATTTTAACTAATGGGAGGTATTGATTTTTTGCCATTTCATAATTCAATTTAAAAAAAAATTCATATTCTAAATATTAGAGTTCACATTAAAAGTATGATTTAAATTACTAAATTATTATTAACAAAATTTCATAAAAATAATTTTATTAAAAATATTTTAATAAATTTATATATTAAATTATATGTTTAATGTGTAATGTAAAACTGTAAAATATTTTCTTCCTTCAAAAATTATAAAGCAAAAATCAAGGGCGAAATTATCAAAACAGAGAAAGTGAGAGGTAATTTGTATAATTTTATAAAAAAATTTATTTATCGTCACTGTGAAACAGCGGTCCCTCATGTTCGCAGAGAGAGGACAGGGGAGGGACGACAGACTTGAGGCTTGAGATTTGCTTAGCATAGCATCTGTTACATGAGATCGGATCGGTAAGCTACAGAAATGCTGCGACTGCGAGCGTTCCGGGCGACAAACGAGAAGGTCGTGAAGATTGCGGTGCATCCCACGCATCCATGGCTGGTCACCGCCGATGCCTCCGATCACGTCTCTGTTTGGAACTGGGAGCATCGTCAGGTTTGAAACATCTAATGATCTAACCCTATTGATTATTGGCACTTATTATTTAATTGTTCTTTTGGATTGATTCGCACTTTCTTTACCAATCAGGTCATCTACGAACTAAAAGCAGGTGGCGTCGACGAGAGGCGTCTCGTCGGAGCCAAACTGGAGAAACTGGCCGAGGGTGAACACGGTAATTGCTGCATTCATACTTCAAGCTAGATCCAAATCTATACATTTCTTTATCTGTATGTGTATATTCAAGTCATAATTATCGTTCTTAGTTGGTCAATTGCTTCATCTTCTGCGTATTGTTTGAAGAACTTCAGGTGGAAGAGAAATGATTAACGTTTTTACCTATTTGCTTGATCTCGAACATAGAATTTACTCAAGATTAAGAAGATGGCTTTGGCACCGAATATCTAAGAAAAACATTAAACATGATGACTCTGGATATTTTCTTTATGTTGGACGTATCATCTAGTTCAACTTGAAAATGAATTGTTTGTTTTATATCAATGGATGCAGAATAAATATTTTCTTTTCTGTTGCTTTTGACCTCAAAAGTTGTATTATAAATGTGCTTGAAATTTAAACTCCCAGTTAATAGAATATTAAACTTTAACTAAAGTACAAAGTGAATGCATTGCATAGTCTATGCTTTAAATTTAGTTTAGCAAAACCAGAAGCATTTCAAATTTCTTAAGCCTTGCCACTTTGGAAGATTAACTTTGTCAAGAATTTTCCATAGTGTACCTTTTGACATCTTGTTTGTGCTCAACAGAGCCTAAAGGGAAGCCAACAGAGGCCATGCGTGGAGGGAGGTAATAGATGCAAAGCATTGTCTTTATGTTAATTTGTGCTAGCTATGCTCATTTCTTTTCTTCTTCCTCATTCTCTCTCCCTCTCTCTCTGAAGCAGTATCCCCCATGGGTTTGTGTGTTTCTTTAAGTGTTAAGCAGGTGAACTTTTTTGATGATGATGTGCGGTTTTGGCAACTTTGGCGTAATCGCTCTGCAGCAGCAGAGTCTCCATCAGCTGTTAATCATCTCACTTCAGCTTTTGCATCTCCTGCTCCATCGACCAAAGGAAGACATTTCCTTGTCATTTGTTGTGAAAATAAGGCCATATTTTTGGATTTGGTCACAATGCGAGGCCGTGATGTACCCAAACAGGAGCTTGACAACAGGTCACTTCTCTGGTAAGTCAGTATTCTTTGTGCTAATTTTTGTTGATTTCTTGATACCTCTAAAAGGTTACAGGAGTTCCTTTTTTTGAGAAGTCCCTATTCTATGCATTCCAAATTGTTCTTTGTCTTCACTCTTGCTCTATATTCTTTCTTGTTTTCATGTGCACACAAACTATAATCTCTTGTTTTCTATGTTCATCCACTCCCATACACTTCTAGGCTTTGAGCAACACTAGATTGTTTTCTACGCTCTTTTTTTCCCTCTTCTTTCTTTCTTCATTTTTTTTTTTTCTAATTTCTAATTTGTTGATGATGTGCGGATTACCAGCTATTTCCATGGTCATGCCAATGTACTTTTCTTTACTTTATGCCTGCTGCTTACATTATTTAACTAACATTACTATCTTACAGTATGGAGTTTCTATCTAGATCTGCTGCTAGTGACAGTCCTCTCGTTGCTTTTGGGGGATCAGATGGTGTCATCAGGGTTCTTTCGATGATGACTTGGAAGGTCTGGTCTTGTCATTTATCATTTAATCTTTAGATTATGATACTAAATTCAATTTTTACTATTATCTTATTTTTTATATTTTATTTTTAATCTGTTGTCACCTTTTATATTTTTTTCAGCTTGTACGTAGGTACACTGGAGGGCATAAAGGATCAATTAATTGTTTGATGACCTTCATGGCTTCATCTGGTGAGGTAGATCCTAATTCTCAAAGCTAAAAGTCCTAGCAGCACTTTATGTTTCTTTTGGTCATATTTGCTTTTAAGACTTGTAAATTGTAATCTGAAGCAATTATGTATTTGCTCTTCCTAGAGAAAGATGAGGCTGGAAACTCTTTAGGAATGTCTTAACATATTTTTGGCTTAAATGTTTATTTTTGGTTGTGAACTCTTAGACAACACATTATTATGTAACATATTCTTAGTTCTTTTAATGTTATATTTGAAAATTGATTTTAGGCACTTCTTGTTTCGGGTGGGAGTGATGGTTTACTGGTACTTTGGAGTGCAGACCATGGTCAGGATTCCCGAGAACTTGTACCCAAGTTGAGCTTGAAGGTGCTACCATCTGCCCCTTGTTTGAACATTTAACTGTTGAAACAATAATCAATTCCTTTATATGGTTGTTTGTCTGCAAAATAATATTCATACATTGGAGTTCATCTTCGATGCTACGTTAACTTTATTTTGATGGGAAATATAAAGATTGAAGATTGACATTGGGTCTGCTCTTGTTCCTTCCTGGATCATAGACAACTTTCATTGACATTTTTCATGGGGATCTTCCATTCAATATATTGTTACTCAACCTTTTTCTCTATAAGTACATAAACTCATTGGAGCTTCTTTTTTTGGGGTTTCAAATCTAATTTCTGTTGCTCCTGTAGTAAAATTTTTAAGCATAGACTCTTTTTTATGATATCAGGCACATGATGGAGGGGTTTTGGCTGTTGAGCTTTCTAGAGTAATTGGGGGTGCCCCACAACTTATTACAATTGGTGCAGACAAGACATTAGCTATATGGGACACTATCTCTTTCAAGGTGTTGTATCATTTTCTGGAAGTTTAGAAATTTGTGAAAGCTTCTGTATTGAATATTGAAATATTCTTTTAAGCTTTTTTTTTTTGGGTATCATTTTTATTAGTATCAACTTTTCTTTACAGGAGCTGCGACGAATTAAACCTGTTCCAAGACAAGCATGCCACAGTGTCGCATCATGGTGCCATCCTCGAGCTCCCAACCTCAACATTTTGACTTGTGTCAAAGATTCTTTTATATGGTAATGTTTCTTTTTGTCGTTTTTCTTCCCGCAGTTGCATCCTCTTCAAATTTTTATTAGCCAAATTAACTATGGCTCCTTCTAATATACATTGAGGGAAGGATATTGGAATATTGCAATTGTGTATAACAACTTAGGTCAATATGCCATTTGGTTTAGTTCTTTAAAATTATTGTGTTTTGCAGGGCTATTGAGCACCCAACTTATTCTGCACTCACAAGGCCATTGTGTGATTTGTCTTCACTTGTCCCTCCCCAAGTGGTTGCACCAAACAAGAAACTTCGGGTATATGATTTGTTTTTTTGATTTTGCCTCAATCAAGTGCTAGTGAGTTATAGGAGAAAGAAAATTGATGCATCTAACAAAAAGTCAAGGAAATCAAGATTAAATATGAAAGAAATTCAGGCAATGTTCTCAGCAAGGCTGCAGTACCCAAATAAGTTCCTAAAACTTGATTTTCTTTATTGGTTAATTCCTAACTGAACCCTGTTAGAATCTGATGCAATTAAAAATCATGAGATAATGACATGATTCATTTGGCCGTAGAACCTCAAGTTTAATATGGAAAAATGGAGCTAAAAAATGTGTGGCAAAATCAAAGCCAACTTTACTCTTCTCAGTAAACTCAAAAGCTGGAGGTTTACTTCCAGGAATAGACTCAAAATCACCATTACCGTTATTAGTACTCCGTTCCTCCAACAACAGTAGTCCTTGTTTGTGACTAAAAGTCACAAACTCAAACTAGGGCTACTATTGTTGAATGGAGAGAGTGTTATACTGTTACTATCATTGTTATCTAAATTTGTCGTATAAAAGACTCTAGTGCATATATGGCCCTGGGCCTTCTGACCTAACTTCAAACAGCTGGAGTTTCTTCTAGTGAAGAGGTTGAAGATCATAACCCGCAGGAATATTCCTAAGAAAACATAGCAATGTCTACCGTTTTTAATTAATAGGAAACTGTAATTCAATTTTCTACAATTTATTTGTTTATCTCACAAAATATGAAATTTGGCAATATGTGACTGTCAGAATGCTCTCTCTCCCTGTCTCTTTTGTTGAGATGTCTGTTTTGATAGTCATGACTTCTGCCTGCAGGTTTATTGCATGGTTGCGCATCCATTACAGCCTCATCTTGTTGCTACTGGAACCAACGTTGGTATTATTATTAGTGAATTTGATGCCAGATCTCTCCCACCTATATCTCCCCTTGCAACACCACCTGGAAGCCGAGAGCATTCTGCTGTCTATGTTGTTGGGAGGGAATTGAAGTTACTAAGTTTTCAGTTGTCCAACACACCAAATCCATCGCTTGGAAATAATGCATCTCTATCTGAAGCAGGAAGATTAAAGGGAGACTCTATTGAAACATTACATGTGAAGCAGATTAGAAAGCACATTAGTACACCTGTTCCACATGACTCTTATTCCATTCTTTCTGTAAGCTGTTCAGGAAAGTAAGTTACTTCTGATTTATTTTACTTAACGACAGTTAATACTGCTTTTCCAATTATCATTAGATAAAATATGCAGGGTGGTGATTTTGGACATTTGGACAATTAGTTACATTTTATTTTATTTCATTTGGACCTTTTCTTCTGCCGTTACCCCGTATGGAGTGTATAGCGTAGATTGTTCTGTTTGGTGTTTTCCCATCCCATCTTCCTCAACAGTCAACACAAAAGAGGACAAAGAAACTTTCTACTCATATAGCAGACATCCATATAGTCATCTTATTTTCCATGTAGTGATGTGTTATGCATGTGCCTCTTCACTCTTACCAATCAATTAGTAATGCAGGTATGTAGCAATCGTCTGGCCTGATATTCCTTACTTCTCAATCTACAAGGTCAGCGATTGGTCAATTGTTGATTCAGGCAGTGCAAGGCTTCTGGCTTGGGATACGTGTCGTGACAGATTTGCTATATTAGAATCTGCATTACCTCCTAGAATGCCCATAATTCCTAAGGGGAGTTCATCAAAAAAAGCTAAAGAAGCAGCTGCAGCGGCAGCTCAGGCTGCAGCGGCTGCTACAGCTGCTTCTGCTAATGTTCAAGTCCGTATCTTGCTGGATGATGGAACATCAAACATATTAATGAGGTCCATAGGCAGCCGAAGTGAGCCGGTAGTTGATCTCTTCTATACATTGTTTTATTGTTTCTTGGTTTCATGAACTTCTGCACATTTTTCAGTGTAATTGGTTCTGCTAGTATGAGCCACTTTACCCTAACAGACTAGTGTTGAATTTGTTGGACATCAATCTTGGGTCCTCAAAATTCTATGAGGACTGAGGATATAACCACAGTTGTTTTACCCTCTTTCAAAAAATTAACTCCAACTAATTGCATTACTTCATGTCCAGATTTTAGTTATGCAACCAATCTGTGAGTTCACAATGCATGGACCAAGCTAATTTGTATCTCACGAAGTGTTCTACTTTTCACTGGGGAAAAAAAACTATGAAAGCATGCTCAAAGGTTTTGTTCTTTTGTATACATGTGAAATAAATTGTGCATTCACAATCCAGGCTTATGCTGCGCTCCTGTTTGGTTTCAAGCACTTTTTGCAAGCATTTACCTTTCATCATGTTAAAACTTATCAATAGTTATCTCTTTGTTTCCTAGTTTGTTGTTTGGCTGAGTTTTTGTGAGATTGCCTTTTCCTGGCTCTTGTGTTAGATGCTTCTTAGTTTAAATTTTCCTCTCTAGGTCATCGGCTTGCATGGGGGGGCACTACTTGGCGTGGCTTACCGTACGTCTCGTAGAATTGGCCCAGGTGCTGCTACAGCTATATCAACAATCCAATCTATGCCCTTGTCAGGGTTTGGAAGTAGTGGTTCTTTTTCTACTTTTGATGATGGATTTTCTCAGAGATCTCCTTCAGAGGCAGCAACTCAGAACTTTCAGCTTTTCAGGTGAGAATTCTATGTTCTCATGTCTTTTGGTCATTGAAGCACCTTTTGTTTGGTGGTATGGTAAATGTCTTGGGCTCCCTTGATACTGTCTGCTGGGTTCTGCGGAGCCTCCACTCAGTGCTAATTGATTGTTGTTAAGACTGTTTTTATATTATAAATTGTCTATAGAGCCATGAGAAATAGGTTCTTTAGAAATTTGTCATGGTAATATTTTCTTTTTCATCTAGTTCCAAATTTCAGCGGCTGATCAACTAGTTTTTTGAAGTTCCAATGATTCACATAAACAAGCTATAGCTTTGTATTTGAAACATGCTATTGGATAAAGTCTGAAGGCTTGCCTGATTTTTAAATTTCTTTTACAATCCTTAGAGAAATATGATTTAATATAGTGAAGCTTTTCAAATGCTTTGAACTTAAACAACTGATGATTTCCAGGAGGCTAGTTCAATCCTATAGGATTGATATGTGAAATTGTAAGTAAAGACGACAATATCTTTTACGATTCACCTTGACCTCATGCCATGGTGAAATTTGAAAAATTCTGCATAGAAGTTCTTGTTGTTAGCTTGGAATAAGGAAAATTAGGTTAACTTTTAGGATAAAATAAAAAGTTGCTAGGTTTTTGGGTTAAAGAAGAGAAAGGATTAACCAAAAAAAAAAAAAAAAAAAGACAAAATCAATGTGGAAGGCTGTTTGAATTGTTGAGCCTTAGATGAAAATGGCTTCTATTCCTGATCTTTAGTCCTAGGCTGCCAACCTGACCTGATAATAGCCTTACTGCCTTGATGATATCTAGTTTGTTTGGGAAAATATATGATGTATACCTGAGAAGGCACACGTTTTAGCTGTAGCTGAATCTTTTCATTAAGGTATCATGAGCTGTGGTTCACATAAACTCCTTTGGCAGCTTGCCTGTTAGCTAAATTTTTGGACTCATCTGGTGTGACATTCCGACTCTTGCTAATGTCTTTTAACTTCTGTCTGAAGTAGTTGCTTAATGATATTTGCCTTTTCCAGCAGCCCATGATGTCTTACTTTCATGCCATCCCTTCTTAAGTGTCAAGGCATAGACCACAGTAATATCTCCTGTTGAATTTGAAGGGACTTTAATATACAGAATCCATTACTAATATCTGGGTTAAATCCTTATCATGTTTTTACAGCCTTCCTCTTTGTTTATTACCCTACTGATAAACAAGATATTGTGAGGTTTCCTTTTACCCTATTCAATGTTTGATTGAGATTCCGACATGCAGCTGGGAGACTTTTGAACCTGTTGGCGGCCTTCTTCCTCAGCCAGAATGGACTGCATGGGATCAGACTGTTGAGTATTGTGCTTTTGCTTATCAGCAATACCTTGTCATCTCTTCCTTGCGTCCCCAATATAGATACTTGGGAGATGTAGCAATTCCCTATGCTACAGGAGCTGTTTGGCAACGGAGGCAGCTTTTTGTGGCAACACCAACCACTATTGAGTAAGATATTTATATTTATTCTGAATATGTGCTTAAATTGGAGTTTCCTGGTTTATTGTAAGTCTCTGTCATATGCTTTGCTGATAGTGATGAGCATCATGCCTATCAATTTCAAGTCATTCTAATATTTTTGGCAACATATATATGAAACTAGACACATATTTAATAGGTTAAAAATTTTATGATACCAGACAAATAATTAAGCATATTAATTAGCTTCAAAGATAACATTTATCTATAAGAATAAAACATTCCATGTCTTGAATTGCTAATACAAGGTAACTGATGCTATTTGTTGACATATTTTAGTTGTTTCTTCTTTTCAGTCCTTGAGCTGCACAGTGAAACTTTTTTTAATATTATATTGTTAATATATCCTTCAGGTGTGTTTTTGTGGATGCTGGAGTTGCACCAATTGATATAGAAACTAGAAAAATGAAAGAAGAAATGAAAATTAAAGAGGCACAAGCAAGAGCAGTTGCTGAGCATGGAGAATTAGCCCTAATTACAGTAGATGGTCCCCAAAATACTGCTTCACAAGAAAGAACATCATTAAGACCCCCAATGTTACAGGTTTAAACCCTAGCTTCCTTCATTACTGATTTTCCTTCTGGTTGCTATTGGCATGACGAATCCTCTTAAAAATAATAAAGGATTATTATTATTATTATTATTATTGGAGGGTAATATCTGCTTTCTTTTTCAACATATATAGTATTTATTGATGGGTGATATGGATGTTGTTGGAAATTTTCTTTTTGCATAATTTTCTAATTAAGTTTGGATATGGATGGGTAGAATGTCATTTAGATATGGTTATTCTTCCTCATATTTGTCATTTTTTTAGTTAATTTTTTTCTAATGAAAAGAAAAGTGCAATTAACTTATCTTTCTTCTTTTTTCAATTTTCTTCATGGTTTAGTCATATTTGCCACTACATTTGGGACTAAGATATCTGCCATTTTTTGCATATAATGTGATTAAATGTTTTCCCCCTATCTTTATCAATATGTTTTCATTTCAGGTGGTTAGATTAGCTTCTTTCCAGCATGCTCCTTCTGTTCCTCCTTTCTTGTCATTGCCAAAACAATCCAAAGTTGATGGGGATGATTCATTTATGCCAAAAGAGATGGAAGAAAGAAAATATAATGAGATAGCTGTTGGTGGTGGAGGAGTGTCAGTGGCAGTTACTCGTTTTCCAAATGAGCAGAAACGACCAGTTGGACCTCTAATTATTGTTGGTGTCAGAGATGGAGTCCTCTGGCTCATTGATAGGTAACTTGGCTCATTGTCATTGATAGGAATTGGTGCAATTTCTGGTGTATAAAAGGAAAAGTCTTTAAATCTCCCTTCAGTTAACTTAATTTTCAACCTAGCTTTCCATGATTTTGCCTTCATTAGTCCATTTTTTTAATATAAATTTATTGATTACAAAATTTTCATTGCACTCAACCCAACATTTGGTAGGTACATGTGTGCTCATGCCTTGTCCCTTAGCCATCCTGGTATTCGTTGTCGGTGTCTTGCTGCTTATGGAGATGCTGTTAGTGCAGTGAAATGGTATCTAACTTTTTCTTGTTATCTTTCAAAGCAGGTTATTATTCCATGCATGCTAAATTCATTTTCATATGCAGGGCAATTAGACTTGGCAGAGAACATCATGATGATTTAGCGCAATTTATGCTTGGAATGGGCTATGCCACTGAAGCACTTCATTTACCTGGCATATCCAAGAGGTCTGTTTTACACATACATTATTTCTTCTCTCTCAGGCATGTTTTTATTTTTTGTTTTTAAAAAGAAAAAAAGGAAACTCCATTAGGGAACTTAGTCTTAACTCTTAAGTCTTTTTGGTTTATCCTTTCTTGTTCTCCAAAACATTCCAACCTGGCCATCAGCATATCTTGCTATATGTGGAGCCCTCAGCCATTCTCTCTCTCTCTCTCTTTTCTTTTTTCTTTTTTTTTTCTTTTTTTTTTTTGCTTTTGAAATTGGGATCCTTCTTCCTAGCTTTTCTTCTCTACTGATTTCCCAATGCCTCCATTTCCCTCACTTAAAGGAGGAGAGGTATGTAAGCAAATATTTGGAGATTCTTGGTGTACAAAAAGGTTTTAAGAGGAGCTAAGAGAACTGTAAAATCTGTCCAAGGGGCATTTTTCCCATACACATTATCATGTTAATTCATAGAGGAATCCTGACCTCCTACATTGTAGCGAAGGCCAAGTATTGCTGCAAAGTTTCTTGGGAGATAAACACCTTGTACTACCTTGAAATTTATGTTCAAGTAAGGGCTTTCTTTTTTGATAGCAAACTCAAACTCAATCAGAATCAGCTGTTTTCCCTGGTTCTCCTTGACAGCTGTGAACCGTCATCATCATTTACCATGGCTGTCTTTCAAATGTTTTTTTATGCAACCCTTACACACTATCATATCACAGAAAAGAAATATGTTTCCTTTGAATCTCATGTTACTCTCTTCCTCTCGTTGAGTATCTCTAGTTTCCAAGGTCAACTAGTTTTCTGAACTAAAATAACATGAAGAATGAAAGCTAAGGGTTTTATCAATTTATAATTTGTTCTTGGTGTTCTTTTATTTTATTTTTTGTTGGAGAGGGGAGGGAAATGAGTATCTGTAGGGTTAGGGCAGGCACAAGTCTACGATGAATAGAGCACTCTTTTCTCTACATTGGAGAGTCTAACAGTTGCTCATGTCTGCATCAATCTGAGTGCAGCAAGAGCATTTGGTTTCTCACGCATCTTCAATTGGTTTTTGTTGCTTACAGGTTGGAGTTTGATCTAGCCATGAAGAGTAATGATTTGAAAAGAGCTCTGCAGTGCCTTCTTATGATGAGCAATAGCAGGGATATAGGACAAGATGGTACCGGGCTTGATTTGAATGACATTCTAAATTTAACAGCTAAAAAGGAAAATATGGTTGAAGCTGTTCAAGGAATAGTAAAGTATGCAAAGGAATTTTTGGATATCATTGATGCTGCTGATGCCACTGCTCAAGCTGATATTGCTCGGGAAGCTCTTAAAAGGTTAGCTACTGCAGGTTCAGTGAAAGGGGCTTTGGAGGGTAATGAGTTAAGAGGACTTGCTCTACGCCTTGCAAACCATGGAGAGTTAACACGTCTGAGTGTAAGTTGCAATATTTGTTTCTCTTCCACACTGATTTTCTGAGCCCTTTGATGCATGCTAAAAGTTTTCACTGTTGCAAGATGTGATTCAGTTTGTTCAGTTTTTTATCAAATTGAAATTTTCCTTCTTGCTGGTACATAGATGTGTAGATGATGCATCCGATGTAGTTGGTCAAATAAACAGACTGCTGTCTTATAAGAGCCACTTGTCCCATCTCTTTCCACTCCATTCAGTAATCCACATTTCATTCAGCTTGCTTTGGATTCTGGTTCATGGCTGTTTTGTGCATGCTAGGAAGTTTTTCATTTTCTGAATTATCTATTATATAAATATGGGATGAGATTTCTAACATATCATAGTACCAATAATGCTCTCATATGGGTTATACAATCATGTCAGAAAAAGTAGGATGGTGTGATATGTTGTTCAAATGAAGTTTATAAAAGATATCATTCTTGCCTGCAAAGGCCTCATAGCCAGTAAGGCAGTAACATACATAATCATAGAGAAGTTTTGGAGATGTGGATTTTCATGCTCTCGGAACATTTCTTGTTTCTTTTACTAAAAAGTTCATTGCCATTATGGATGTTCATGTCTATGCTATGCTGAAGGCAATAGAACCATTGAACTCTGGTGTATTTTCTCAGAGGAATGATAAATGTTCCTTGTCAGTTATTGGAGTTTCTCTAAACTGAATGGATGTAAAAATCTTGTCTTTGGCGTCCTTTAATTGCTGTACTTTTTAAGTAATTTATATCTGTGACTGCAGGGTCTGGTAAACAATTTGATCTCTCTTGGGTTGGGACGTGAAGCAGCATTTGCTGCTGCTGTATTGGGAGACAATGCCCTTATGGAGAAGGCATGGCAGGATACAGGGATGCTTGCAGAGGCAGTGCTACATGCTCATGTATTGTTTCTTCATACCGAAGATTTTTATATTTGTGCTCTGTTTGTTTATCCATATCTTACCAGTCTCAACTATTTCAGGCTCATGGACGGCCAACTTTGAAGAACTTGGTTGAGGCTTGGAACAAAATGTTACAAAAAGAGGTTGAGAACACTCCATCAGCTAAGACAGATGCTACAGCTGCATTTCTGGCTTCTCTTGAGGAACCTAAGTTTACCAGTTTATCAGAAGCAGGAAAGAAACCGGCAATTGAAATACTTCCTCCCGGGATGTCTGCTCTCTCTGCTTCAATCACAATTCAGAAAAAGAATGCTCCTGCCACCCTGAATTCACAGCAGTCACAGCAGCAACCAAACAAACCTTTGGCGTTAGAAGCACCACCATCTACTGAACCGGCAGCAACAACTCCATCAACTGAGCAAGTACCATCAGCACCACCATCGAGTGCTCCACCCTCATCTGAAGCAAGTGAACCTGCTTCAGATGATAAAGCACCTAATTCATCAGAGAAAAATCCAGATAAGGCTGATCTGGAAGGAAGTAAGCCTGAAACAACTGCAAGCAACACTGAAGCTCCAGACACTACACAACCAGATGCAGTTCCACCAGCGGTGTCACCTGAGACTGAGGCACCACAAAATGATAACGAGGAAACCAATACCACCAATAATGTTGCTAAAAATGACCTACTTATTTGAGTCAACAGAGACAAGCAGAAACAGTGATCATTTCTGCTTCCAGTAATTTTAATCCACTGCCTATGTCACACAAAGGAGGCTCGGCAATCTCATTATCATTATACCCAAGTGACGTCCAGGTAAGGGTTTTCCGTTAGTGGAAGAAGTCTATTCTATATCGTGTGGAAGTTACCATATTTTTCAGCGGTAGTGCTTGTTCAATGGATCTGTGAGTAACGTTTAAGAATTGGTCTCTGCATGGATTTCCTTGCTTTCTTGCCGACGATTCGTAGTACTTGTATTTGTATATTTTCGGTGGCAACTGGTGCGGAGCTAGTTGGTGAGTTGTGAACTAAAGAAACTGAAGCTGTTATTTTTGAAAGCGAAGACTCTTCACGTAGACCCGTGCTGTAATGTATATCTGTTTTGAAATGAATTTGATTCTTTTCCTTGTGACTTGGTTACCATCTTTCGATTCTTTGCTATGTTTTCTTAAAAATATCAAGTTATAGTTAATTACTTAAATATTTCGGTGGTCATTTTCTTTTGCTGAAAATAAAAGATTTTGAGTTCGAGTTGCATGATATATAGGTGAGGTAAGATAAGGAATAAGAGATAAGAAATAGGAGATGATTATATTTTATTGTGAGAGATAATTGTTTTTTTATTGTATAATTAAGATTAAAAAAAAAAGCACATAATATATTAGCTTTGATTTATTTGCTATTAATTTACCACTCAAAATTTTCACTTGGCAAGGTATTGTTGTTCTGTTTATTATTTACTTACTCTCTTTTTCCTTTTAATTTTTTAGATATATTTATTTACTTTGTACACATAAAGGTGAAGAGTATTTTTGTAATCTTAAAAATCATTTTTCTGAATTTTTTTCTCTTTTCTCTGGAGACTTGTACTTCCTTATCCTTTTACTGTTAAGTTTTAAATTTAAATTTTGGAATTTATTTGATAAATATAAGTTT